AAACTGACCTTATCTATGACCCCCAACACCCTGTATGCTCTCAGCTCATCAGATGGACTCTGCTGGCCTGCTCTGCTGGTGGAAGGGCAGCATTGTGCCCCCAAAGCCTTGAAAAAACAGAGAAACATTTCTTTGGGTAAAGGCAAACTGGCACAATTTCACAGCATCAGCACGGACAACACATTATCACTTTGATGATAGGATCGGCTCAGATACTGATTTATTTACAAATTAATGGTTTCCATATTTTAACAGCCAGTGACATTTCCATCCCACTCACTACTGTCTGCGTTGACCCTTGACCCATGTTGCTTCTCAGATGCTGACTGGATATCTGTTCTGCACGCATCAGATACTCCGCAGTCTTCTTCTTCACTGCCTCTCGTCGTGTGGGGCTGGACTCACCTACAATAGGGATGAAATTAAAAACTTGAATTATTGAATTAATGAAAAACAATAAACTGCATCATAGTTAGGGAGAAGCTGACAAAACCTATGTAAACACAAGGCCTACCATTTGAGCTGAAATACATTATTAGTTACTACTTGGTATAATGTAAGGATCTTAGAAGGCTGCAGCAAGTTGTGTTACTTTGTATTAGTAACAACGGGAGGCTGTAGGGCACAGGTGTGGACTGTGGAGGATTTTAAGTTAGGGAGTCAGTGTAACACTACTCAATTCATCATTAAACTTAAGTCTACAGGGACATTAACTGTCATATACAAAAGTTTTGTTACAGTCTATATATACTTTTTAATTATGGAATTGAATTGTTCTTTAGTGGATTCCACTGCAGAAACAGTATCCAGGTCTTGGCCACACTGACCTTGCACTCCTTGCAGCAGCCGGTCCACTCCACTGCGATAATAAGAAAAAGCTGCCAGGTAGTCCTGCTCGTTCTCCTTCTGTACAGCCACGTAGATGAGCTCGCTGGCTTTTTCTAGGTAGTCTGAGTTAACGTCCTTGTGTTTGCCACCGCTGACTTTCTTCAAAGTGCCAGAAAAGAGAGGCGTCCGGCCTGGTCTGCTGACCTCGGGGTTAAGGGCTGAGGAGGCAGGAGATGGGGTGCGGCGGTCGTGCAGGGAGGGCAAGCGAGGGCTGCAGCTGCTGCTAATGTGGGAAGCTCCCCCCTGTGGCTGGTTTGGGGAGGTGCGGCCTGAGGCCATGCCATCATCCAGCCCAGCCAAAGAGTCTGTATCCACAGCCAGGGAGGTCAAGTCACTGTCACTGGACGGACCTGAGGTGGGACGAATGCCAGGGTCAGATGACAGATACATCTATAAACACTACGAAATAAGACTATTTATGCTGAACCAAAAACAATAGTATATTTAATGTAATTCTGAATTAAAGAACAAACTCTACCTCCATACTCAGACGTGATAGTCAAATCATCTGCACCACTGATGTCTCTTTGAACTGAAAAACATGTCCATACATCTCTGAGTAAGTTTGAATTTACAGCAACAGTAAATTAAGAGTAGAGACTGATAATGAGGAAGAGTTTGTGTCTGTTCGTACCATCAGAGCTGCAGTCTGATAAACTATCTGCCAGGAAATCTGAAAAGGGCTCGGCTGGTCCAATGAGCTCTGAGCCGTCGTGGACCTCACCTCCCTGCAAAAATATTCAAATTGTAGTCCTTTCAGTAAATTGTGTATGTGTGTCAGTGTGTGTGTCAGTGTGTGTGTGTGTGTGTATGTATGTGTGTGTGTATGTGTGTGTGTGTGTGTGTGTGTGTGTGTGTCTCTGTGTGTGTGTTGTGTGTTGTACCTTGAAGAAATCTTGGATGTGTTGACTGCTGTACAGAGCAGGGATATTAGCAGAGAACTGTAGCAGATCCTCAGAGCACTGTCTTCTTTCCTCAATCACTGAGTCATCAAAACGACCTGCACATGAACATACAAGGACACACACACATGCTCATATCATGTAAGTGCCGCTTGTTAACTGAGTAATAACACTAAACTGGCTCATGGGGGCAGAGTTACTCCAATTTTTGTTTCTAGTCCAAACATCCAGGATTTTGTGTCTTGTGTCCTCTCCACCATTTTTCTCTTTCAACCCAAGTGGGCGAGGCTTATGGCTGCCCATGAACAAGTTTTATGTCTTTTATATAGACAGCAGGAGATTGTCCCGGTCAGACGCATTCACAACGCATTCTCTACTGTGTAGAGAGGAGGCATGACATATGAATTGTGTTGCAGAAAGCAGTGTTTTTGTTAACAGCACATCAATACTGGTGTAGGCCCTTATTACCAAAAGCTCACAAATCTCCCTCTCAAGTTCCAAGTGTATGGCAGCGCTTTTTCATCCTGACACCATAGTATTCTTTTTGTGTTCATCACACCCGCTTGCTCTCTCTGAATTTTCTTGGTATTTTCCTAATGTTTTCTCACATTTGCTCACTCAGACATTTTCCACACATTTTACCAGAGAGCTGGCGTGAAAAGTTCTGTAAAATGTCCGAGGCACTGACTATGCCATTTGCTTTCTCAAATAAAGCCACTCTGGAAAATGTCTGGACTATGTCTAAAAGCAGCGTTCCTGTTGAAAGTTAAAAGTCCTGTTTATTCCCTCTCTGCTGTTCAAGCAGGAGATATCTCTGCATATCAAGGTCCAACAAAAACATCAGGGCAGATGTTTGACACAAGGAAATTAAGAAGGTTAGTTTCTTACCAAAGACTTTGGCCTTGGCAAAAGGAGGAAACAGCTCTGACTGGCTACACACATCCTTGTGTCGCTGCAAGAGATTGTGATGAAGCTTCCGGAAATCACTGTATCTCTTCCACACTGTTATCTACAGAAAGAGAGAGAGAGTGGGGAGATAGATGAAGATAGAGGAAAAGACGCTGACTTAAGGAACGGAAGTTAGGGAGTCAAATGGATTATATCAATGTACCTTAGAAAATGCTGCTTGTTAGAGTGATCTTGTACGTAAAAGTAATCTCATTATCAACTGACTTTAGAGAACTTAAACAGCACAGCCTAAAACTAGAATGGATTTTAATGTCAGATATGTGAACACATGTGTAACAAACTAAACATACCAGTCACAACATTAGACACAAACCTGGGTAAATTAATTCCTTACACTGTAAGATGAAGCAAAACATTATGGCCTAATGTTGAGACACAAATCTGGTTTGCTTAAGTCTTGTCTGAGCGCCTAGCGAGAGACAAACTGGCTTGAGCGCCACTCCCAAACAGGAGCACCACTAAGTAATGGAGGTAAGTGGTGATTTTCAGGCATCTTAGACACACATGCAGTAATTGACATCATGCTGGTTGCATTAGCACTGGTTCCAGGACAGACTGCATTCCTGACTGTTTCAGAAGCAAGAGAGCATTTTAAGTATTTTTACCACACGTTGTGAGAAAAACAAATATTTCAGAAGTTGTGTTAAACCTTTTAAAAACTGATGTCTTCAGACAAATAATTTAAATTGTCTGACTAATGAGACTCTAGGGGCCTTGTGTAATGTTTAATCTGTGGACAAAAGAAAATGCATTTGCAATTATCTTCTAAATTGAATTGTCAAATATAGTATAGCATATAAATACTGTCAAATGATTTATTACTTTAGTCTTGTAAGGTCTGAACCAAAGTAGGCTGAGGAAAATGAAGAAATTCTGCAGTTGGCTGAAGATTTGCACACACACACATATTCACCATATCAAAGTAATGGCTTCGTGTCTTACCTCTTGAACATCTTCTGGGTTCTTCCTGGAGATAATCTGTGTAGAGGAGGGAGAGGAGAGCTCAGTGGAAAAGCTGAAGTTAGTGCCACAACAAACTGTGGGGCTATCACAAGTATGAGCCGGGACCCATTCTGAGCGTGACAATGAGTGCATTATGGAGCGAGTGACGGAAGTCTTGAGAGTTAGAACGAGAGACATCACTGACATTCATTACAAACAAGATCCCAGGCAGGAGGAGAAAACTCAGCCTGACCTTCTCCTAACTTATTGAACAGAGCATTTGCAGATGAAGCTAAATGGACAGAGGATAGGTATGAATGATTCATTTCATTATCAGAGCACATACTTCTCAATGTCATCACTTGATCTGTGAGTTTCTGCATATTATCATTGAGGATAGGGAACTATACTTGAAATTAAAAGGCGTCAAATGCCCCAATGTATTTTCTGTTTGAAATATTTTCAAAGCATAGAGGCACCTCACTCTGGAAAGTACATTTGTAGATGAAGTTTGACATTCCTCCATCTCTGCTTCCTGTCTGGCTCATGATCCCAGTCAACACTCCCCTGATTTTTTCAATGGGCATCGTGCCTCAGAATATAATGACAATGCAAACCAGCCTGTTCTCGTAAACACTGTCCACAATGGCCGTGTTTACTGCGAGGCTACATGTAGCAGCACCATAACTACAGGCTCTTTAACTGTCCAGCTCTGGGTTCACACAGAAAATCAGTCTTGCTACTAATGTAAATGAGCAACTTGACAACCCAATGGGAGTGAAAGACCCAAATGTTAAAACCCAATGAAGTCTTAATGAGTCTATTAGCTTTAACTGCGGTGGCCACAAGAGCTAGTTACCCCTGCCAGCTAACAACACTGTGTTTGTATCCCATCAGCTAGCTAACAGCAACTAGCATTAGCCTAGCTGTCGGGGTGTCCATCCTTCCTCTGCTTACCCGTGCGGTGACTTTATACACAGTGTAACCTTTCTGGTGCTTCTTCGGGTCCGTGACTGTATAAAACCGAGCGAGTTCTCCTCTGTCCCGCTGCGATATCATCCTGAGAGTGACCACATCGCCAAAGCTACTAGCCTGCTAGCCACTCACATTCATTCTCTGACAGCAAGCCGCACAGTGACAGGCAGGGAAACAAGCTAGAGCTCCCCCCGAGGAGAGCCTGAGGAACTACATGCTGAAATGTCACATTCATCCTCTTTTTATTTTCGACAGAGATGACACCAGCTTGTTTAATCTCATATTTTTTTTCTTTATTAAGTAATTGGCTCAAAATCTATAGTGCAAATTATAAACACAGCTATGTTAACAAACATAGATAGTGCCTTATATTCTAATATTCTAACACTGGCATGTACATGGACTAAATGTACCTAAATTATTATGTAGTATATATAGGCAATATTTTGGCTTCATTTCATAGTGGAAGGAAGAGGAGACATGTCGTCCATTTTAATATACATTCTATGGTAGTAGACTAACATGTCTCCAGGCAGATATGGCCTACTAATATATGCTTTTATAAAACAGAGTTTAAAGTGAGATAGCAATGTAAATCTCAGTACGATAATCAATATGATAGTTAATAACATGGCACCTGATCCTTGATTTAAAGTGAACACCAAAGAGAAAATATATGAAAAGACACAATACACATAAAATGCCATACAAAAGAAGTACAAAATAGTTATAGATACAATACATTTGATCTGTTGCTCATAAAAAGACTTTACATTATTGCAGTCCAGAGCAGAAAAAGCATGATTGCTCCTGGGTTCATTATCCAGGGAATGTAGAGTCGAGTCGACGCATTCAAACAAGTTAAAGTCGGATTCTTCTTCATCTCCCTGATGAAGCCATTTGCGTTGTACGTGACATTGTGCTGTGGAAAAAAAAAATATGATATAATGTAAAAGGATTTATTGTACTTCAGAAAACAAGACTAAAACAACAAAAAGTCTATTTTGTTTGAGTTGCTTTAACTTAAATGCCAGGATGATGAATCAAGACTTTGTCCATGATCATTTGATAAATACACAAAACTCTCAAAGCTGTACAAAACTCAATTTGATGGACGTGTGAAGGACAAAAGTAAACGTTTATTAAAGTACAGATCTCAAGCAAAACGATAAAATAAAAATGCTGTGTCATCAAAAATCATATATAAGCAGTCAAGAAAATGTTCGATACATAAACACAAAGGCCAAATGTTATTTCTTTTCATTACATTGAATGTGTGGAAGAAGAGACACTGTCAAACAGCTCAGTTTTACTTACTTCAACATCGGTGACCAGCTGAATCTGTGGAAGGCTCTTTAGCACATTCTCATACTCGACAATCTCATCATAGTTTAGAGTGGTGTTGTCAGACACCCTGTCGGAAAACAGAACAAACATCACTTGACAAAGAGCATATCAATGTACAACTGCTTAAAAACATAATGTATGAAACCTAGAAATGGTGCTGCAGATTCAGGTTTCTCAGGAATGTCATGTGATGAAGTGCATCAGGTCTTACTCGTAGGATGTATTCAATAGAGCATTTGTCATTGGGTGGCTTATACATGAGGTGATCCCGATTGCAGGGTAGTAGAATAGAAAGGCCAAGCACATCTCATCAGTGGTCCCCAACCCCATCTGAAGGAGACAAATGTCATTAATAATGAATCCATCCATCCATCAGTCACCTACACCACTTAGGTCTATTGCAGTATTTTCATATGTATTCTATTGATCTGTTGAATAGTCCAGCTTTAACATTATATTGCAATAGTTTGAACAGGGAGTAGAGCACAGTAAATGATATTCATGTTAATGTGCCTACATCTATTAGTTTTATCATTTAGATTCCTAGTTCTGAAAAGGTTTGTTTAATTGAAAGGGTCATGTTACTGCTGTTACATGAAGTTAATAATTTAGTATTTACCCACCTTGGTGACTTTAGTGCGATTCAGAGTGTTGTAGATGCACTCCACTGCAATCTCATCATTCTGTAATGAGAGACAAGTAATAAAGAATTATTCATTTATAAGCACTGTAAATATAATAAAGTGTTAACAGCCCAACCAACTAATATTCCTCTGAAAATCTTTATATGACGGTTTGATATATAGGTAAAGAGTTAAAAGAGACTGTACCGGCTTGATGGTCTTGATTTTTCCCATATTGACAATCTGCTGAACTTCAAAGCTGTAGTTTTCATCAAAAGCCAAGGAGTTAATCTGCTTTCCATTTCTACAGAGACAGAGAGGTATGAAATAATAATGCTAGGTTAACATAAAAACAATAAACAACCTGTGTCCAAAACTGGATTTAATTCAAAAACACAACTACCATAACTACAAATTCCTTATTTATAGTCACGAACAATTGATGTTTATTCCCTCTGTCTTACCTGTAGTGGACAGCTCTGACTTGCCTCCCAGCCAAGTGAGTGTGCAACAGGACACCAAACACTTGAAGGTCAGGCACAGAATCCATCGACTAGTGTCAGGAAATAAAGACAATCAAGAAAATCTTCCTCATTTATCTTTAATGACAACTCCTGACATTTTAAATAAATACCAAACCGTACCTGAGAAAAGAGAGTGGTGTTACACACGCCATAGGTGTGGAACTGTTGCACGTTTGGAGGGATTCTGTATTGTATGTGGTCAAAAGGTAGCACACCTGTCATCAGGATGCCCACATCATGCTCCCGGAGTTGGGCTGTGTAGTAGAGTCTGAGCCCTGAGTTGTCTGTCCTTCCTGCGCATGGACAGACAGACAGACAGGAGTTTAAAAATGTTGCATCGTGGTTATGTGATGTTGAGACTTCGGAACAAAGAAAAGAAGAGATACAATACAGACAAAAAAGTAAATGTAATGACCATTAGGTTCATAAGGGAGCTATGTCAAGACTTAGAAAATGGGGTGAACTGGTTATTTAGTTTTGGCATAAAAAGTATAAACATAAAAAAAAAAATCATTGTGTTACAAACTGGCGGATTGCTGCTCACTAGCTCACTTTAAGCTGACAAAAAAATAATTTGATATAATATAATATAGTATAATTTAATTTACTGTAATATAATATTCAAGTTCAAGTTATCCATATTTTGTATGTAATTAGTTTTGATTGTATGAAAATGATTATTTACCTGCTTCAAGGTGTACGTTATTGTAATGGATTTCCAGCCTGTAGAGTGTATCACTGTCTCCACCTCCAACAGGAATACCCACATTTTCTGGAAGCTCATACACCTGAGGGTTCAGAGAGTAATTGAGGCACATTGGTGTCCAATTACAATATAATGAATCTGGGAATTTCTTAATGCTATTAATGTAGAGAGAATGGAAACTTGACTCTCCCTTACCCCTCCTCCCACTCCCCATGCAGCCACCACCCCGAAGCAAATGTCCCCTTTGTCTCCGACGAAGCATTGGTTGTCGTACGTCTCGGTCACAGAGGAGGGACAGCGGTACAGTAGCATGTGATGAACAATGTCAGGGTGCTCGATTTCTGGGACAATCTGAGGGAGAGCAGGAGAGATTTTGTTCGGTGGGTTTAAAGAATAATTAACCGAAAATAATGTAGATTAAATGTGGGATTTATACTATGAATACTTTGGTCAGAGTGGTGATTGTAATATGACAAAAAGGGATAATTACAAGATAAATGTGATGTTTTGTTCTTAAGTTTGGAAACTTCATGACTTTGCAGTGGTAGTAGGTATGAATGGCAGGGACAGTGACCTGCAAAAAAAACAATAAAAAGACACGGGTAAATTGACACATTCTATCTACATCTTATTAAATGCAGTTTTCCTGTTAGATAATATAATAAGTATCAAAGTCTACAAAAATGTTCACATATTGGTCTTGTCTCTCATCAAAACTGTTTTGAAATCATTCTTACATTTTCCACTGTGGCGCTGATATAGCTGGAGATAGGTAGGGAGGACCTGGGCATGTAGTTCAGCAGGTTGACCTCCTTGGTGCCTCTGCGTTTGTTGTGGTAACTGACCTCATCTGTCGTTCCATAGGCATAGATCAGCTTAATGGGCTGATCCTGTTAGAGAGAGATGGCAACTTTAGGGAATAACTGTGATACAGCTAAAGTGATAATGTCACTTGTTTAATTCAGAGGGAAATATCGTATGTTTCTCTGTTCCTAAAACGAAAAAAATCTAGTCTTTGTTCCCTCCCCCAACTATTTCAAAAGATCCAAGAGATGAACAGATACGGTTCAATCCCATGGCAGTCCAACACCCCATGTGCAACTAGGTTTTATTCTAAAGCCTTATTGTATTTCAGGTGTTCAATGGTAAACAAAATATTGTGCGCCTCTGGAGTGTCTCATTGTAGTCATTGTATTCATATGTGAAACTGGCCAATGGAAGCCACGGTGAAGGGAACATTGAGGTGAACCAAACAAAAGATGTCCTATAAGGTGGTTTACATGGTTTCAAGTAGGAAACCTGAGTCGCACATGCAGAATTAGATCAACAATACAAAAGATGATGGCATGACAAGTAATGAGCCAAAGCAGTGGAGGGAGAGCACAACAAAGACATAAACTCCATGATCTGAAACTTCAAACCAAGTTTAAGTGAGGCCTGAACAACTTATTGTCATCACTGAAACAATGACCTCATAGAGGAGGTAGAGAGTTCCATTAAACTTAGATTAAATGTATTTATTAATTATTATTATTTATTTCATCATTTTGGTTTCACACTGCTAAAGGAAAACAGTATTGAGTCTTCACACAGTGATGTTGGTGTCGTACACGTGCAGCAGCTAATCCAGAGGATAACAAAACGTTCTTACAGTGATGTGGAAGTCCTGGTCGTCACACGTCTGAAGGGCCCTCTGAAACTTCATGATGGTTCGTCCTTCACTTTCATTCAGAAACAGGAGAGTGTAGCTCTGATGCGTATCCACCAAAGGCATGGATTTCCCCGTGGCGTGACGATCCTATTGGACAAAAAAGGGAAAAATTGGCCCGTAATTGTTTCGTGTTTGCTGTGGAACATGAAAAACAAATATACAAGGATGGAGGATACATAAAACAAACTTCCACATCTTCAACATGTGGATAATGACTTACTGTGAAGTAGTTTCCACTGGGTCCAACTCCCCCTATGACCATATCTGCCCCCTTCATTATTCCGCTCGGACTGAAGCCTAAGCCCACCCAGCCCGTGGTGTTGACAGTCAGTTTGAATGTAATGTCTCCTTGCAGTTTATCAAAGCCCCACTCAAGGCAAACCAGCTGGTTGAGGTCCAGGTACACCATGAAGGGCATGTCGGGGTCCGACGCCCCCGCTCCTCTCGTCCCGGCCAGGGAGAGGCAGAGGAGAGTAAGCAGAGTGCGCATGATGTCTCTGTGGAGCTGGAAATCTTCACACTGAGCTCAGTGTCTGTGGACCAGCAAACACCCTCCCACCCTCCTCCCACACACACCTGTGCTGTGAGATGAAGCCAGGTGATACAGGCTTCAAAAGTGCACAGTCATTTCACAGCAGGACTTGTGCAGCGATGAATACAACACACACACTTTGACTGGGAACTCAAACACATTCAGGTTTTTGTGCTGAATTTCATTTCAGTTAAATTAAAGAGTTTCTTCAATGTTTACTGTCAATGTCTTTCAGTCTTTGATATGAGAACAATGGCTGTGCACTTCTCTGAGGCTACTTGGAGTAAACTGTATCCGCTTTCAACTCCACCCTCACTGATATCATCAGCTTGCTGCCCCAGCTCTGTTCCTTAGTCACATGAATGAGAGCAATGTTGTTGAGTTGGTGATTCTGATATTAATTCTTATTGAAATAAATAGTGGACAGACTTACACACTGTTGTATCAGACTGCATTAGTCTTTGCTAGATGTTCCCAACACTCAGCTGAGCCTATGTTCCCTTTTAAAACCTAATTTATACACAACCTAAATCTCTGTGTGAATTTAAGCTTTAACTTGAATTTAATTGTTGGTTTATTGTTACACTTGGTAACTTTGTTAAGAAAAGTCCTAAACAAATTAACAAAAAACCTCATGACTATTATAATTATCATCCATACCGCGTGGCCTGGGGGTCATGGAGACAATCCCAGCTGACACTGGGTGAGAGGACAGGTTGTACAGGTGTCCAGTCCATGGCAGGGCTAACATACAAAGACAAATAACCATTCACACCAATCTGTATGTATTCAGACTGTGGGAGGAGGCTGGAGAAAAGCCACATAGACACAGGAACATGTAAACTGGGAAAAACTGGGATTCAAACCCAGAACCTTTTTGCTGTGAGGGGACAGTGCCACTGACATTTATAACAGCACATGCTTGGAATGAGGTGCAAGACTTTTTAAACTTGTACCCACCACCCTCTCTAGAAATAGTGTGAACTCGGTTTTCATCGAACAATGTCATTGCTTTTAAACATGTGCTTTTTATTTTTCCGAATTCATCCCTGAATGTTTTTGTGCGGTTCTCTGCTGCAGTTCTTGTGCCTGCGTCCCTGCTTGTATCAATATATATTTAGAGGAGCTAGTGAACCTCACTGGGACCACATGAAGGGAAAAGAAGCTGTAGTAGCAGCTCGCTCCCAGCAGAGCTCGCCTTCAGCGTTAGAGAAGAGTTGAGGGTGACTCCCTTTGAGCCGTTGAGCAGCTGAGAGCTGTCACACAGTCAACACTCACAGGAGCCGCCTGGAGGCCACAGTGGGTTAATACACCGGAACTCTAGCAACATTACTGAGGCTCTGAATTAAAAAAAAGAAAAGAAAAAAGACACGGCTATAATATTGTTGGGACTTATGAAAACTTCTATATGTTACTGTAAGAATTCCCTATTCTCTCAATAATTTGGAAAAACAGAACATTTTAGGAAACAGTTTATTGTTATATTAGATATATTTGCTCATGTTATTATCGTCATTATTAACATTATACTTAAGCCCAATTGTTTTTATAATTACATATAGTCATTAGAGTCACAATATTTTTACTATTATTGAATTATTGCTTTCAGTGTGTATGCTGTTATATCTATATTTTACATAGGGCTGGAAAGCAGAAACATAATCTGAGGTAGACTGATTAAGTGTTATGTTATATATAGATGCTTTGATTGCTGATTTATTGGACTTTTGTTATATTGCTGTCGATGAAAATAATATTGCGATTATTTCCGATGCTGTTTTATCGACGAGCTCCAACTTTCTTTTATAATTATATATAAATAAAATGTATAGAAAACTTTAAAAACACAGAGATGATGTCATTTAAATCGGTCGCGTCTCGGGGATCGTATGATCACACCGACGCTACCTTTCCGGTTTCCCCTCCGCGGTGCAGGTCACTCCCTCCCTCCGCTCTGTCAGCAGCCCTGCGCGGTTCAAACTTCCACTCACTCCTCCTCCTGCCTCCGTCTGTCCTGTCCTGTCTCCGGTATCTTGACTTTTGTTTTTTTAAAGTTAAACACGGTAAATAAATCGGGTAAATAAGGTTGTTTTTTTTAGCAGCGTTTGGTTTACAGGAGCGTGCGAAGCGGGAGGAGTCGCCGTGGTTTCCCCGCTTCCAGCTGAGGAGTCGCGGGGGGAAATGTCCAGCTGAGAGCCGGAGAAAGCGCAGGGCCTGTGTTTGTAATGATTGATCAGAGCTCGGACAATGGCGCTAAAGGTGAGTCCCACAGCTTTTCTCTGCTGTTTCACCGTTAACCGGAAGATCTGTTTCCCCCAGAGTCTGTTCACGGTCGTGTTTGACGGTAAAATGCGCACTGAGCAGCGAGTCCGTCGCATCAGTTCAACTGTGAACATTTAAACTCGACAAGTTCCGCACGAGGAGTGAAACCCTCGGCTTCAGCTCCGTGTAATGGACGCTGACATCGTGTGTGCACCGTGGATGTGGAATCCTGCGTGTTTGTGTTGTTGTCTACATGGAAAATGTGTCTCATTAACAAAGTGTCTTGTGACATTTTACTACCTCTGCGCTGCGGGTCATGTCTTCCCCGAGGAATGCTGGGAAATGTAGTCGCTGGCCTGTGTGTGGCTCTGTGTGCTGAAGTTTTGTGTATATGAGTGAACGTCATTATTGAGTGGTAGACTCCTGAATAAGTATTATAAACATGTTGATGTTCATTTGTAGTTTTGCTATTATAATTTCTGTACATTTATATTCTTTAATGTGTTGATATTTGTAAAATGTGCAGTATAGTCATAACTGGAAAAGAACACAAATAAATAGCTGTAGGATTAATTACTTCCTTCACATTTTATTTTCAGTGTGTAATACTGCCAAAATGCTGACATTTTAGCTAGCTCTGGCTAAAACTACCACTAGAAGTCACTTCTTCCGCACTGCTATAAAAACAGCAGGCTACAGCTGTTTTAGAACAAAAAAGACGTGATTAGTGGGGAAATGATTTTGAATGATAATATCAGAAGCCTGTGAGTATTAGTATTAGAATAACAGGAAATAAAGAGTCTGAGCCCTGTTTGATCACAGTTTAATATTATTTTATTCCAGATTCCATCTCACCAATGTTAAAGATTCCTTCCAGCCATTTTTTGAGACATGTTCATTATTATAATTGTCAGAGACATAATGTTTCATAATAATGTTTCCCTCGTTACTTAGAGCTCTGCTGTCAGTGGATGTGCACTGGAGGCTAGTTGTATAAGGTAATAAGTGAGGCTGAGGCTGTGGCCAGAAACATGTTGTTCCCGTTTTAAAAACATACTCCTGCTCCTTTGACTCCTGGGAGGTGGCAGGATGACACTGATCAACATCTCTGTTCAAAGAAGACTAAAGGCATTACATCTTACTGGTTCATGAACAAAGTTAGATAGTCACACTCATAACTCACACTCAAAACGTGGCATGCTCTCTCAATCGTTAGGGTAATTCCTGGCAAATTCATTTGTATAGTCAAATTTATGATGAATAAGTGGCTAAGCCTAAAACTCATGAAGTGACATGTGAAAGGAGAAAATATACTGTATTTAGAAGAGATAACTTTGCTTGTTTGAATGTGTATATATATATATATATATACATACACATACATACACACACACACACACACACACACACACACACACACACACACTTGCATGTGTGTGGACTCTGAGGCCCTGGGGGAGGGCAGTAGATGTAGGTCACTGTGAGAAGAACTGCAGGCTTCTGTATTAACCTGAACCAGGTAACATGCAGGTTCTGGCCTTGTTTATGGTTTATACTGGTGTCTAGTTAATAGTCAGCGTTTCAGGTGCAGAAGAACTAGTTTGTCCTGTTCCACTCAGCCTTTATTCCACATCACAAACGTTACACTCCTCTGGGTTATTGGCTGTTTTTTGCCTATGTTCAAATGCACGTACATGTACAAGTATATGTTTATGGTATCAAACACACTAAGCCCTGTGTGTGTGTGTGCTTCTTGGTTGTGTCTAGGCACAGGTTTTATATGACTTCTCCGCTGAGCCTGGAAACAACGAACTGTCAGTGAAAGAAGGAGAGACGGTCACTATCACCAATCAGGTAAATCCTTATTGATATTCTTCTGCCTATGTAAGATCACAGTACACTCTGTGGTAAATCAATTGTGTAAACATGAAGTTTCTACTATAGAGGCTTCATTCTTTGCATTAGTTCCAGTGAATACTGTCTCAATTATTCGATAATTAAAAAATATTATTTGGACCTGAGTCCAGATAACAGTTTTTTAGATTTACTTAAAAACGTTCTAATTGGTATTATTGTTGTAAGAAATCATTAACTGTTATATATTTGTGTTTTATAGCATCTTGCTCTCCTTCATATCTTTGTTATTTAAAATGAGCAGTCCTGCAAATGTCCAAGTCACATGATGAGTTGTCTACAAACATTGAGTGTCACAAACAGAGGAAACAAATAACTGTGGGGGTGAACATGATGTCATTACAGATGGTGTCTAATAGTTCAATGGTTACTCATTATGTGCTGACCTACATAGTTTCCTAATCAAAGTCGATATTAATCCATTCAAGACAGACTGTTTCACAAAAACAAACTTTTTTTCTCCACTAAATCAATTTACAGGATTTATGTGTTTATGGATATTTAGGTAACTTGGTAATTGTCAGATTTTAGTTCCAACTTGAATCTCTAAACAACTTGTAAATGGGAAGCCTGCTTTCTTTAATTAAGATAATGAATTAACAGAAACACGTTATTCCAGTCTCTGCACAAATGTTTATATAAAAAGCTTCATTCAGCAGCAGCAGCAGCTTAGTAATGGGATCAAAGCATTACTTGAAGCAGTGTGACCATTTCTTTGCAGAACAAATGAAGCAGAAATGAAGTATTTTCATTTTAAATCAAGAGTTAATGTTTATTTTTTTAATAAATGCTCTATATTTTGGGTTGTATTTCTGTTTTCTTTTTAGTTACTTATAAAAAAGTTTATCAAGCCTCAATTACATTTTTACATAAGGGTTTGATAATAAGATCTTGGAAATCATTGCAATTTTTTGATGAGGAGCATCATTTAAAAAAATTAGAAAGACGAGGACTAATGTGATTTCTGTCCAGCACCATGGAAATGTGTGTTTTTGACTAATCACAGTATTGCAATGCAAGTATCCCTTTTAAATGTGGTCCTGTATGTGCATGAGGTGTAGATATCTACTCTCTGCTGTCTTCAACCAATCACAGTCATTCATGCTAACAAGTTGTGCTGCGTCTCACTCTGTTACAGCATATCGGAGGCGGTTGGATTGAAGCACAGAACTCCAAAGGGGAGGTGGGACTGGTGCCAGAGGACTACATCGAGGTTAGTGAGAAGAGTTTCCCTTTGTGTTTGGTGATGATTTCACCACAGATCTGAAGTAAAAGAAAACTCTGCTGTCACGCTTTAAAGTCACTGTCCATATCAGAGGACAGATAAATATTTAACATTTGCTCACCCCAAGAGACAACAACAAGTCTCTTGCCTGAAAGTAAAATGACGACAGGATGTTCCTCCTACAGAGTTTTGCTGATTCTGGTGTTTGCGTCCTGTTTTATCCAAAAAGCCCTGACGTCATCATGGGGGATATGATTCACTCAGAAGACATTCACAAAGAGACAGAGAACGAGCAAAGTTTAACAGCCCAGCTTCATTCTAAACAGCACTTACAGCAACATTTAACTATCTAATGTCTATGTGTACTAGAGAGAGGCCGATACCATTCTGCTCTTAACTCTGCAAACAAGTTCACATGGATGTGTTTGTCTGGCCTTAAGTTACCCCTCCAGCTGCCCTCAGACAGTTTTTATTCCAAATCATAGAAACCCTCTAATGACAAATACACTTGTAGCTTATGTCATTTCTTATGAAAAACATCAGGACAAGCAGCTTATTCTCTATTTCATTCAGCACTCTACTGAGAATAAGATCAGTTCAAACAAAAGGATGCTGAACTATAAAAATAGCCAACAGATGTTGGTGTGTTTTTTTTATACTGGCAAGAGGTGAAACAAATTTAAATGTGCAAATTAAATTTATTTCGGTATAAATACAGGAAGTGAAAAAGCCAGTTGTCAAAGCCAGGGAACATTAAGGAGACATGATCACATAACCACAGAGGAATGTATCTTAAAAAGTCATCAGATCCCTCTGGAATAACTGGATTAGTTTCTGTTTTTTTCCAATGGGAAATTTAGATTTCTAATGGAACTGCTTTTGTCTTTTTGTTCTTTCGTTTGTAGTTTGGTAAGCCTTTTCCAGGAGCAGGAACCGCTGCACCTACTCCAAGTGTAGGAAATGTTGCATCCCCGGACCTGACCTTCTTTGATGCCTATGCTCCCGCATCAACACCTGCACAAAACCAGGTAACGCGTTCACCTACTGAACGTACATGTTTATCAAACTCATACTGTTGCTTTTGGAGCGTCTGCGCTGTCGACAAACAGTGAACATGATATCTCATGAATGCCTTGAGGGCCTTTTTTCCAAATTTGTACAAACGGTCAGTTTTACTCAAGGATGAAATGATTATGTTTTCATCGTCACGGTGGCTGAGACCTCTCAAAGCAATTTTTTTCCCCTTGTGAATGTGATATCTCACTTACAGGGAATACTTTTATATTTGGTACAAATGTTCACTATGTACACTATATAACTGTGTAGAATTTGTTGGTCAAAGTTCATGGTCACCTTGACCTCACAAACCATGTTTTGGCCTTTTGAACCTGATATATCAGGTCTGCCTTTTTCAAATTTTTGGACTCTGATAAGATTTCAGTGGTCGGAGGCACACTCAGGGTAATTTTAGTTTTGCAAATGATCAACTTTGCCTTGAGTAGGTAGACCGGTGCTGGAGAAGTAAGTATGAATATATACAGTCATTCTCTGCATGGCACTCCTGCCATGTTTCCATTCTCTCACTCAAAAGTGTGTGTGACAGAGTGAAGAAAAAGTCAGTGATGACAGTACTGACCTGTAGAAACGTCAGTACAACTGTCATCGCTGCCTGGCTGTTCTTGTGAACCCTGAGAAGCAGAAGTGAGAGCTGCTGCTGTGGATGATAGTCATCGTGGTTATCTATAGCTAAAGCAGGTTTCTAACTCAGAACTTGAGTAACTTCTAAACATGGTTGGAATGATTGTTTTTCTTGTTAGCAGGAAGTTCCTAGAAAATGAGTGTACTGCTGGATCAGTAGAAATGTGCACAGCAAGGGATTGAGTCAAGGCAGGAAATGTGTCAACCATCATCCCTCCTTCTCTTTCTCTCCCTCTCACACACACCATCACTTTAACCCATCCCATTAACCATCACTGCTGGCGCTTTGTGATGTTGTCACCTTCTTCTCCTCTCAAGGTGGATGCTGGGGGCTTGAGTCCCCAGCCGGACACCCCTGACACCCCAGTTTCCCCTTATCTCTCGTCCCCTGATGAGGTAACCGCCACTTGGGGAGCGGTGGGCGTGGCCAGAGGCATGAACCCAATTTCCTCCCACACTCACCCAGCACCCCACCCCCACCCCATCCATCCTCCCTCTCCAATTGGTCTGTTTTGACAAAACCCCCCCCACTACTCCTACCCTCTGAAGAAAGCATGTTTCCACTAAATTGTATGAATCAGCACCACAGTCAGTCAGTGATTCTTATACCTATGTAATTAATTTATCACACTGGATAATCATTCAATCACAGCACATGCATTGACCCCAGATTATTCAAGATTCAAGATATTTATGATCATTATATGAGATTATGACAAGAAACCAATAAATATCAATAATCATCTTTTTTTTTAATATCATCTTGACTGAGTTTTAAATAAAAAATAGTCTGTTTGTCAAGACGCTGTTAAATCCAGAAAACTCAGTCTCAGTGTTGTTTCTCAGTGCACTAATGTGTTGATATGTCACTTGTTGCAACAGTTTGTTTTGAAGCTATTGATTTCTTTATGTTTCTCTATTTGAATGTGCTTTACATGACACACAGCCCTTTGTTTAGTTAGCTGAAAGCTAACTGCAACCCACAAAAGGCCCACACACACATATTTGGTTGCATGCCCATCCACATAGGTTTGTATCGGGGTGAATATGCCTGCTTTGTAAGCATGGCATGGAGTTGCATTCTCAGCCTGTAAGTAGTTTAAATAATAGTGTGTATGGACTTGAGAATGGTAGCTTTTGCTAATTATTTTTTTTCAAATCTAATTTTCTTATTATTTTGATATTTATTGTGGCTGCATGTGATATGAAGCTTTTGTTTTAGACCTCAAACCACACTGTCACCATGGAGTTGGTCGATTATCTCAACAGACTCCCTGTTAGAGGCCAGCTCTACATGAAATGCATGTTGTTTAAAAATGACAGTTAAGATATCAGTTCCACATCAAACAGAATCTAAATCAGGCTGGACTCCACTCTCTCATCTGCTTCTCCTTACTCTTTCATCTCTCACGTTTTCTCCCTTTCTCTCTTCCAGGCGAGTAACGGTAATGATCCGTGGTCGGTGTGGAACACAGACCCCTCAGGGGGCTCCAACAACAACTGGGCGTCAAATCCGGAGGGCACCCAGACTGGGAAGAATGCTGCTGACCCCTGGAGCTCCGTATCACAGGGTCACCCTCAGGCTTACCAGGGCCCCGGTAAGGACAGCTCTACGGTTAGCCGCCATGGTTGACCGATTAATTATGTGTCAGCAGAATAAAGTCACTACCCTTGATCTTGGGTTATTTACAGATTCTAAAGGTTCATACTCGTGATTGTACTTACACTTCTTAGAACTACTATTCAAAACCACACCAATAAAAACAGGAAATAAAGGCTATTCAGAGAATATTTCTTCCTCTTAAGTTGTTATGTTTGTTTTCTGTCTAATGTTTAACAGGATGATTGAAGTTTATTCAAATCTAATAAAAGTATTTTGCTATAAAGAAAGTTAATGGAGCCTGCATATCAAAGGTCACACACAGTTTTTAGCTCTTGAAGTTATTGTCTTTCTGTTTGTGGGTAGTTTCCTTATAAAATTGTAAATGTGAACACATGCCAAAATGTTTGGCTACAGTCGATGAGGTTATTCTAAAAAACAAGATTTACTCATGAGCATCAAATAATCGGAAAGAGAAGTATTCTCTCTACTGACGCTCAATTAGATTATGTGGCTTGTGTCATATGTTGTACATTTATATTTGCTCAGTCAGACATAATATAGTACATATCCTGTGTGAGAGTCTTTTTTACCACAGTCCATTTGTTGTAGCCTTGGTTAAAGGTGTCTGGATGAAAATGAAAATTACATCCTGAATGTTTGAGTAAAATTATAAGCAATTATGACTTTTTAAAAAAAATACTTCTATAATGTCCTTACCTCAAATTTAAATCTTGAACAAACATCTTATGTTCAACAAAAGGATTATAAAACCCATGATCCTCAGAGTGATATATAAGTCAATTAGTCCTGGTAAGTAATACCGAAAATTAGTTTCTTTGGTTTCTCCAAGGAGGTTTGCATCATGGACCAAAATGAGAAAGAATATTCTCTTAAGTATAAAGAGCTTAGTCTAAACCTGATACCGACTGAAATAAGATAAGATATTATTTGAAGATACAGAGTAAACCCTCTAATCTGGAACTCAAAGTGTCCAGCAAAAATACTGTCCCCTCTACAGAGATGCTCCAGTACGTGGACCGGACCAGCACGTCACGGCTTGGTTATTGCCAGACGATTGGAAACGTTAGCCTCATGCATGACTCAGAAGAATAAATTACTTGACCTGTTTTTTCAATTCTCCAGTTGTTTTTGTAAAAAGAGAACAGAGGGGCTAAATGGAGAGGAGAAGAATTAAAAGACTTTTCCTTTCTTTCCTTTTCTTACAAAAGACATCTACCCATATCCTTACCTTATCGATTGCACAGGTATTCTGTGTGTTGCAATGGTGGAAGCTTTTTTCCTAATGTTTGTGTGTGGACTGGGGCTGAGACTGACAGCTTCTAGCAATTGGTTTCAGGAAATGATTTGCATCTATAAAAAGCATGTGTGTGATGAATTTAATTTGTTGACATTAACATGATGATGGTGATGTGATGTGGGACAGTTGTGTCTCATGAGTGTGACTGGATATGTTGTTAATCTGACACATGCGATGTGAAATCTCAGGAAACAGGGCCATCTTTCAGACGTAGTGTTTGTTTAATGAGGAGTTTGTGTCACATCATGGCAGAATGAATGCTGTTCAGAGTGTTAGACAGTACACGTAACTATGTGCTTTGTTTAAGTTTTTAAAACTTTGAAAAGCTTTTTTTTCTCTGAAATGATGTTTCAGAAATGTTGGATATAATTTGGACCAAATATGTGGCTCAATAGGATGACTCACATTTGAAATGTTCATTAAAGCTGCAGAACATATAGAATTTTGCACCTGTGCTCTGACTATAAAGCTGTAACTCTCCTGTTGGACCCTGCAGGTGGACGCTGGGGTTGTTGAGGGGCTGAATCGACAGGCAGATATACTGACGCAGAGATGGGAAATCTTTGCAGCTTAAGTAGACCACCAAATTGTATATGGTAGAGGAGTGTGGAGAATGAGGTCACATACAAGCTTGAGTTGAATGTCAGAACTCCATTTATTTGATTTTGGCTGTTTTACAGTTGGTGTAATGCTGCTGTACACTCAATACTAATTATTACTTGCTTGTTGTGTTTGAGTAAGAATATTTGTTGTCTCATTTCACTTGGAGCCACATTCAAACCTTAAAATCTTGTTTTTTATGTTTTGAAAGTGCTCAGCTTTAGAGAAGGTCATACAAATCATGTCTTTGTTTAGCAGCATGTAGAAATGGAAACTGAGGATTGGTTCCAAATTCAAAGCATTTTGAAACCTTTGATTTTGTATGATATAGGCTGTGTGCAGTGCGAGCATGGATTTAACACAATGATGCATGTAATGCATTTTCATGTGACCTATGGTAGAAATCTAAAATTACAATCTTTGAACCTTTTTAACACATTCTACATCAAAACAAGGGCAAAGTGCAATGTCTTCAACAGTGCAGTGTATTTGATGGATTAAAGCCTACATGCCATTATCTCAGGATAATGTATTGCTAATGTTTAGGACCAGAAAGTAAAGTTTAGCAAAGTATTTCTACTTAAATATATATTATAAATAAGAACAAGAAAACCTGTATAAAAAATATACTTATGCCATATATCAGACTCATGCTGCAACCCTTAGTTGTTTGTATAAGCACAATTACAAATAATCATGGAAGTAGAGATATTTAATGAACAGAGCAAATGTTTAACTTGCTTTCGACTTGTGCAACATCTTTGAGCAGCTTTTTTTTTAAGTATGCATGTGTGTGACCTCAGGAGCTGAGGATGATGAGTGGGATGACGAGTGGGATGACGTGAAGTCCAGCGGAGGATACTCAGAGTCAGACCCTGGAGACGGTGGAGCGATGCAGAGAGGTGGAGCTCATGCAACTTCAATGAAAATCTCCCTCAACAAGTAAGAGTTTGTAAAACAGGAGGATTTGAAGTGAGGCAGTGTTGGGCTTGAAGGAAAGAAACAAAGAAAAGTGGCAAAGCATTGTGTTATTAGTGATAAGATTAAGCTTGGATTTGAATTTGAGTTTTGGCTTTTGGGAGTTTCCTGTTCCCTTAACGACAGTTTCTCTTTCACATGACAACTACAATGCTCCTATTGTTTGGACCAGGCCATTCTTTATCTTTTATTTCTGCTTGAATCTGCTTTAACATTCACTTGCTTTTAAGAGCCACAACCATGCAGGAGCACATTATAGTTTTTGTATGTATAGTTGCAATAATTTGATACTTGTGACTTAAATATGCCACAGAAAGCTTCCTCAAACAAGAGAGTTAGAGAGACCGGTTGACACCATCACTGTTTAAATTTTGTCTGTTCTCGTTGAGCAGGTTCCCAGGGTTCTCCAAGTCTGGGCCGGAGCTCTACCTTCTGTGCAAACAGCTCGCTAAGGGCAAAGAAAAACTCTCAATCTATGTAGGTTATCTCTAAGTATTTGTACCAGTTGAATGCAATATAAAACATCAGATATCTTTACTTGTTACACTAACTGGTAGTGGTACAGTCACTTAGCTTGTTTGACTAACCACAATATACATGTATATATATTTTTTGTCATTTTATAAATAAGGGAACTTATGGTTGGAGATGGTTCCCTGTTTTTGTTTGATCTATGATTTAATGTCAGAAGGTAAAGAGCATCCGTTTCTAAACCTAATGTTTCCTGCTCAGATAGGAGAAGTTGGTCCTGTGTGGTCTTACCCAGAGTCTCAGCTGGACTGTGTTGTGGCTGATCCCAAGAAAGGCTCAAAGCTGTACGGCCTGAAGAGCTACATCGAGTACCAAATCACAGCCAGTGTAAGTTTAACATAGCATTTGTGTTTTCCAAGTGAGTTCTACTGTTAAAGTAATAATTTCACCTGTTTACATGACTTGCCGTCACTATAACTCCATGTTATTGGTTTGCAGACCACAAACCGACCAGTCAATCACAGATACAAGCACTTTGATTGGCTGTATGAGCGGCTCCTCGACAAATTTGGGTCCGCCATCCCTATCCCCTCTTTACCAGACAAGCAGGTGACAGGTGAGTGCTCAACTCCATGTAAGACACATTTTCAGAAAGAAGCTAAACATTCCTGAAGTCAGCATGTAAGTGAATCTTTCATTCATTGTTTGCTTCACTGTTGCAGGTCGTTTTGAGGAGGAGTTTATTAAGATGCGTATGGAGCGGTTGCAGGGCTGGATGACCAGGATGTGCAGACATCCGATTGTTTCCAGCAGTGAAGTTTTCCAGCTCTTCCTCACATACAAGGATGAGAAGGTTTGATATGCCACTTCCTTCTTCCTCCTTAAGGTCTTATTTTATGTGCATTAAAATAATGTGTTTTATGAGAGGTGAAACTGAGACACAAAGTTAATTTTGTAATTAAAATGAGTCATTGATTTCATGCAGGAATGGAAAACAGGGAAGAGAAAAGCAGAGAAGGATGAGACGGTGGGAGTGATGATCTTCTCCACAATAGAGCCTGAAGCTGCAGACCTGGATCCTGTAGAAGTGTGAGTTTAAGCTTTGCAAACAGTGGCTCATCACCGCAGGTTCTAATGCATGATGCAGTTATGGTAATGGTTTCGTACATGTGCTCCTCGTCCTCAGGGAGCAGAAGTGCGAACAGTTCAGCAGGTTTACCAAAGCCATGGATGACGGAGTGAAGGAAATCCTCACAGTGGGAAACGAGCACTGGAAGAGATGCACAGGCCGTATGTTTGCACTGCACCACACACACAGGCCACACCTTCACTTTGTGCTGTAATTACTGTTTGTACGAATAAAAGATGTCATTATTATGTTTAGTATTTTGTATTCTGGATTTATTCACACAGTGTTTTCATGTTTGTTCCTGTTTGATGTCCCCCCTGTCCACAGCTCTGCCAAAAGAGTACCAGAGAATCGGGAAAGCCTTTCAAAACCTCTCCTCAGTTTTCACCAGCAGTGGATACCAAGGTAACGACCACAATTATTATTTTAGAGCTTTCTGAATTGAAATTTCCCACATGCAGCCATTTGCTAGTCATGCCTCATGCTCTTTGCAGATGCAGTTTACTCTGCAGTCGCTCATTATGTGGAAAACTGTTTTGAATGGAAATGACAAACAAGTTGTCTTAAGAAACAGGGTGGTGACATGTTTTAATCCCTCAGGTGAGTCAACCCTGACTGACGCCATGACAGCAGCAGGGAAGACGTACGAGGAGATCGCTCAGTTGGTTGCAGAGCAGGTATGTGTTGAGTGTCCATCCATCCATTCATTGTCTAAACCGCTTATACCATGCCATGTATGCACAATCACAGTATATAGTATAGGAATTTATAATATTTTGAGCATAAGTTATTTAGAAATTTCATAAACACACAATAAACGGGGTTAAAGGAAACATATTATATTGTTTCTGGTTCATATTTTTCACATGAAAACGTTGTTTGGAATTTTAAATGTTTGGAGAAAACGCCTCACTTTCCTCTGACTGTTCATTGCTGCTGCTCCTCTTTTCAGCCTCTGTCTGAAACACTTGGGTTTTATTTCCTGTCTCATAAAGACTCCCCTCCCACTAAAGCCCTGTCTGCTCTGATTGGCCAGTAGGCTCACACTGTTGTGACTGAACTTTGACATTCAAAGAAAAAACTATAAAACACACTAGAGGAAAGAAAAACAGGAAAAGGCGTTGTATATGTCTCCTTTAAAGATAAAATGTACAAATAGAATCCTCAGACTTTCTATAGGTACCATGATAAGATCATTATCGGGATTTCTCATGGTCATGATAATTGTTTAGGGAAATCTGATTTGTGTGACAGCCCCAATTACTGCGTATCAAAAAGTTACAACTGTTTCTGTTTCAGTTTCTTCTTGTATTTATCCTTAATGATTAACATGACATATGTCCTTGTCTTCAAATTCAGCACAGATCCTGTCATGTGTGTTTGGATGCACAATGTTTGTGTCCTTTCAGAAACAAGAGCTGTCAGACCTCTGGTGTCTCAAAGGTCTTGAGGTTTATTTCAGGCGTTTTTTATCGACCACATTGTTGTTCCAGTTCACAACATCTCGCAATACCTGCAAACATTTCCTGCTCGCAGTTGGTGCTTACGTCCGAGCTGCAGTGTTTTAATGACCCCTCTAACCCTGCGTCCTGCTGTATCTGTGTCATGGCAGACTTATCTCTGGTGTTTCCTTGCTCTTGTTTGGACCTATATAGATGTGGCTTTGCTGAACGTTCTGTCTCAACAGCACTGTGTGGGATGTTGTTAAATCAAATGTGGGCTTTTTGTTGTCCCAGCAGCAGGAGGAGGATTCACCTGGTAAGCTTGTGTTTGTCAGTAGAGTTGTTAGCTGTAGGTTAGCATTGCCTGTGATAGTTTGCAGAATTATGAAGAAGCCATTATCCAGACATGGATTCATGTCAGGACTTATCTGCTTTTCCTTATCTGGTGTTTTATATTCCTGCATAGAGATTTCCTTTATATATTCAAGAACAAGTGTTAGTGTTGATGTTACACACAGTTTGGACAAATGGCGTCATTGGTTCGATTCCGACCCTTTACACAGTGTCTTCCTCCTCCTCTGAACCCAAAGATATCCAGCGCAAAGAAAATAACAGAAAAGGCGTAAAATCATTTTTGCTTTTTTATTCTCTTGATGTTTTCATTCCTTCACCATCTCAATGTTTCACTATCTTCACCGGCTGGATGTCCTTGCTGAATCTATGACCTTATGATACATGTATAGTTTCAGCTCTGTACGTGTGTTAAAATTCAATTCCATTGACGTAACATTTCATTGTGTTCTTCCTTATCCTTAGTTTCATATCTAGGTTTTGTTCCCTCTTTTTACTTAATCACTGGAAGCCTCATCTTTTAGTTTTTTGTTCATTTTCCAGCCGAGGAAAGACCTCCACTTCCTCATGGAGACCAACAATGAATACAAGGGTCTTCTTGGATGTTTCCCAGACACCATTGGAGTCCATAAGGTACATCTGCAAATAGTTACACAAAGTTTTATTTGAAAACACATTTATTGGGATGTGTCTACACACTGAACTTAAATTCAAAAGAGAAGTGGATTTGCAGCACCAGTTGGTTGTATATAGTTGCATTATATATGTTAAAATGATTCTCTCTCCTTCATACAATGTAACTCGAGTCTTCCATGTTGTTATTTGCTTATTTCCATTTGTTCCAGGCTGCCATAGACAAGGTGAAGGAGGGCGACAAGCTGGTGGCCACCAGTAAAATTAGTCCTCTGGAAAAAGTGACCATGGCGAAACGAGTCAGCACCATGTCTTACGCTTTACAAGGTACCAGACTCTCTCTGAGCCAGAGGCAGTGACGCAGTGTAGCTAGACAGCAAGTGTTGCCTGATCTCATTGGTTTCGCTCTTTTCTGCCGCAGCTGAGATGAACCACTTCCATAGCAACCGAATCTATGACTACAACAGGGTCATGCAGTTGTACCTGGAGGAGCAAGTCAAGTTTTACGAGACGGTAAAGGCGTTTTTCATTGACCATCTCTCACAGTAAATTAGAGTCTAAACCAGTCTGCTGCAGGGAAGCTGCATAAAGCCTCACTACTAAACCATCTCCACCTGCCTCTGAGTTTGTATTCATGCTCGTTTCTCTTCTTTTTCTGAATCCCCAGATTGCTGCAAAGCTGAGACAAGCACACAGTCAGTTCACTACGATGTGAAAGCCTTCAGCGTCGCACTACAAGACAAGAAGAGTGAACCCCAGCTCGACATCTGAAATATATTTGCTTATTCTGCATTCATTTCCCTCTCTCCTTTTAATTTAAACACCACTTCTCTCTTTTTGTTTTGCTCTCACCTCATCGCCTCCGTTTGTACAGACCCAGCTCACCGTGTTACATTTGTCAGCTCAGAAGTTTCTGAACAGTTTAAGAACATGTGCAACAGCCGAAAAGGCTTTGGCACTTGTGTGCTTTCATTTTTTGTGGATCAGAAAAGAGAGCAGAATGAGAAACACTATTTACACACATCCTTTCCTCTGTCCAAGGTCCAGAGCTTGTGATACAGGAAGCAAACAACCGAGCTACAGTTTGTGACCATGAATTTCTTCATTGCACGAGTCACACCCTCAAGTTTTTCTTCATTAGATTCAACTTTGCTTATGTTATTTTAAATCCATACTCAGTTGATGCACCAGATGCAAGCAAATATGCACATTTAGCAAAACTGTTATCTGCACGATTATCTGGGGATGTATTAAAAGTAAAAACCAAAGCCTTTCTCCCTCCTGTCACCGGGGGGGGGGCTAGGGAGATGCGTTTTTTAAGGTCGGCTTGACGGCATATCACAGCTTTATTGCCCTTTCCTTCAATACGTTTATGCAAGCGTCGCCTAACGTTGTCAGTAGAAGCGGTGGATCGTTTTTTAAAAGTCTTGGAAGAGTTGGCGAAGGCGGAGTGTGTCTCCTCTGTGTCCACTGCCGGCAGTGCCAAATTCTCTCAACCTGCACTTCCTCAAAAAAGCTAACAGGAAGCTCCACCTCCTTCCTGTCTTGCTCACGTGCCTTACCCCCTTTGAAGAAGACAGAATAAGCTTGAATTGATAAGCCCCCCCCCCCCTGTCGACTATGATACTGCAGTTTACAATTCATGAAAGAAGACAAAACGTGATAAATTGACTCTCAGGTTGGGGTTCACTATTTTAAGCATTTTACATTCAAACCAAACATCGGTGAATAGACACCTTGTGTGTGGATGGTGTTAGACATGATTGTTTTCTCCCAGTTCTGATATGAAGAATATTTGTTTTGCTTTTGACCAGAAAATGAAGTTTTATAAATGGGTTGTGTCATGTATGCAATTTTTCTCTTTCGTTTTTCACCGCCCAATTTTCAATCAGTCTCTAATCTTGTTCACTCTTTGTTTTCTTATCACTTCACACATGATAAATATACATATATATAAATATATATATATATTCTGTTGGACCTATAAGGTGCTTCTTGTTATTGAGATACGATTTTATGTATAGAAGTATTTTCAATACAGTGCAACTCAGAGAGGAGCAGAAATTCTGTTTGATTTATTAAACAATGATTTGTATTCATTGGGGCTTGATTTGTTTTTTGTGTGCGTTCGAAAGAAACCTCATCTTGTTCTCGATTTGACTCAAAGTGTAAAGCACCACGCATTCTCTGATTTGTCCTCACAGTAAAGCTCTTATTCCAGGCTGCAGACTCTGGGTAGAGATGGAGAGGAATGAGAATGAGTGTGCCGCCTGTGCAAAGGGTCAAAGAGTGTGTTTGTGCAGTGTTGCAGTGGAGGAAGTGAAAGAGCCCTTTTACCCCACATTCAGCTCTCGCTGGCTTCAGGTGCAGCTGGATGTGGAGGCCACATAAAGTCACCAGGCGCCATATACAACAGACAGTACATGCATTCTCATTTGTTCTCAGTGGATGTGATCTAGTGTGTTTGTTACATTTATATGATCCTTAAAACATCAGTCATATTATTTTCTGGTCTTTATGCCACCGCGCTGGCGACATCCAGTGGCCAAGCATTGCATATATGTTTTTGGATTGTCTGTCTCATTCTTTTGAACATGCTACCTGAGGGACTTTTCATATTTTGTAAAAACTCTCAGTTGGACTGAAAGATGAACTGATTAGATTTTCTGAAACGACTCTGTTTGTTGGAGGCACACGACCACAGGGGAGTTTTTGAGAGTTTAAATCGAAGTCATCACAAGCTGAAGTCTCTTTTTCTGTCTGTTCTGGCCCCCTGGTGTTACCTCTGCATGACACATGCCTGCTATATTGACACAAACCTGCCAATATGCTAAAGGTCTGAGGAAACCCCTATGTGATTTCATGTGAACACATTACTCAACACTCACTCGATACTACACACAAACTCTAGTTTACTTTATGATGAGATATTTCAATCTCCTGGTCCGAATTTTTTTTTTGATCAATCAAATATCTTTTAGTACTTGCATCATTCTGTGTATATAGTACCCTTTGTGACTCACGGGATATGTAGTGTTTATTGTACAGCACATATGTGTGTATACACACTCCTCCAAGAGCACATATTCTCCTCTCTGAGCCTATACAGAGACAGTAGCACTTGGGTCTTTTTTATCTAATACAATTAGGTTTTCTTATAATAAACATTTGAATAAATTAATAGTTGGCTGACATTCAAAATAAATGTAATATAGCACAGTATAGATATCGTAGTATATGTACACAGCGAATGCAAAGCATTCAATAATCACACATGCTCTGCCTGCCAGTTGTACACGTCTCCTCTCAGACACCATGAGTTCCATCACACTGTCAACAAATCAGACAAAAGCTGCTGATTTATTTTGGCTGAGTCACTAATAATGTGTCAAGCTAAAAGTATAAAATAGAAGTACAAAATTAGGAAGAACTCACTTCCCACAACTGAGTGAAAAATGTCCCAGGAACACTCTGCAGGAGAAAATCAGGATACCAGCCAGAGAATCAGTTCAAAAACAGGAGATGTCATATCGACTGGTTAGTCTGTAGGTCCACTCACTACAAAACAGTTCATCAACATTAACGTCCCTCTGTCAGTAAAAACATCGTTTGACGTCACTATCAACGTGGTGTCCAGTGATTTATTGCGTCATCTCCACTGCTGAAGAATTGTTTCTGCAGCTTCACCGTTGTCAGGGCGACGGTTGTTCAGGGTGACAAACGGGTTCGGAAGCTGCGTGGTCGGATCATCATGCTGACCTTTCGTAAAGAGTAATAGTCAGAGTCTTTCCAGGAGTGCCAGACGATCCCATCAGGACCCAGCGGCCCCCGGCCTTGAGGGGTGTAATGGCCTCCCTGCGGGGTCAAGAGGTAGTGAGTACTCTCATGACTTAATGGAACAAAACAATTTAAAGTTCAATCTTTGCGCACTTACTCTGTAGTAGAAGCCATTAAGGTTGGCGTAGAAGCACTGGTTGTACCACCAGCCACCGTGAGAGATCTCGGCACAGATGTTCCCACTGTCTGGCGTACTGAAGCCCTGCTTGTCGTGGTACCAGCTGAAAGAGTCCTTCACCGTGCCGCTGAAGCCTGACACGTGGAGACGGTACTGATGCTCCTCATCCTCCACACTGCACACATAAGTGATACAAGAGATACAAATGGTTGTGCATGTGTATCCCACCTGCTTGCACACTTCATGACACTGACCTGAAGCTCTGGTAGAGGGCGTGTTTGTACTTGTTGCTCCAGTCCTCTAGGCTTATGCGGAGGCTGTAGTCGCCTTGGGTGCTCAGGTCGTGTATGTGGTCATTGCCCAGCCAGAACTCGGAGTGCAGGTCACCGAATCCGTCCCTGTAGTCCCTCCAGCTGCGGTCAAAGCTCACTGAGCCGTCGACCCGCCGCTGGATCACAGTCCAGCCACCACCTGAGGCAAAAAGACAAGGGGAGGATGTCTTGGGATTGCCCATGATTTCCACTAAGTGCCAGTAGGTGAATTGTTAGGAGGGGGGATGTCTTGTCGATACTGCCATCCCTTCTCAGCCATTCATCCTTCCCTTATGAAAGAGAGTGCTGCAGGTGCAGATAGAGGATTTGTGTGTGCAGGTGAGCATCCTGTAGTCAATGCTGCTAACTAAATTGCATGGCATTGAAGACAACTGGAGGGCATCGCTCTTTTTCTCGCTCTCCCTCGCTCTCCGTCACGAACACACCGACTGTCTGTCACAGTAGAACTGACCACCCACATTGGTGGCTTTTAAAACATCCCAAAAAGATTTAACACACTGTGGCAGGCAGACTCGGTAGATGCCACTTTTGGAAAGTGAATCATCTGGAGATACACAAGTAATATTCACATCAAGTATGGTGAAAATCCATCAATGTATTGTTAAGTTATTTTGTGCACGTGAATGGCATGATAGATAGACTGAGTGGCCAACACAAAGACTGCAACTCTGGCTTTTCAGATGAAGTACCGTGAAGTAGTTGAAGCAAAGCCAACGTGTATTTTCCTCATGTTCATAGATGAGACTCACCATCTGTGTCCATATCACAGTAAACCTCCACCGGCATGCCTGCCAGTGACGGCACTACAGTGTAGAGGCCTGATCTCCTCACGCCATTGTAGTAGATAGAGGCACAGTCTATGGGGCAGTTCCTCACACGTTGAGCCTCTGATGGCAGAGAATGACAGAGGAGTTAATCAACAGGGACAGTTTGGCGCCCTCTGCTGGCTGAGCATGTGGGTTTGGGAAAATGCGTACCTGGGTGCAGGGCTTCTTGGCCGCTCATGAGAGGGTTGGGATGGACGACGTTGATCAAACAACCAGGGCCTCTTTTTACATTATTCACCAATAGTGTCAGATTGTGGACTTGGTCCTAAACAGAGACGCAAACAGTCCAACTATCAAGAAATAGTCAGTGTGCATTGATCCTGAAAAGACCCAGTTAGGATAAGGAGATGCAGTTTACCTGTAGTTCTAAGATCAGAGTGCCCTGGAGGTGCAGCAGGGTGGTGGCTTCAGCATAGTGCACCTCCATCTCATGAAAACGCTGTTCCAGGGAGACGTTCAAATGGTGTTTCTCTTCGCTCTGATGTTATTCACATAAATATACACAAACACACAACCAAGGACACGCACAATAACTGAGGTCAATGTAAAAGTTCACTACATGAGCTGTCAAAAGAAATCAAAGGTAACAGTTTTTGGCTTTGTTGCTGTGCAGAGTAGCAGAAAAATGAAATATTTAAAAAATACAATAGTTTTGCTTTGATTAGGAAAAAAAATGGTATATTTTAGTTTTTCATGCACAGAGAAACAACATGCTCAGAGCTCATGCACTCATTTTGCTTTTCCTATTGCTACTTTAAATTTTGCAGCAGTGGTGCATTGCAGAAATTGCATCATCTATAATCTCTTCCCACCATCTCCATGTATCCTCATATACAGTCGATCTCTTTGCACATTAAAACTTGCAACGTCTGCTGCCTGCTCTCAGGACAAAAACGACGCCTCCCCTGTTTGAAAACTCCGCTCACTTCAGTGTGTGGTCTATTCCTAGCCTGGACAGGATAACACTAACTCCCATTACCACCAACCCTGGAGCCCTCTTCTAATGTTCATCACATGAGTGCACTCCACCATCCACCTGTAGCCGCTGAACACTCCAGCTGGAGAGCGAGTCCCTGCTACTGTGTGTAGGCTCACTGCCTGAGACGCATGAGGCAACACGTGGAAGAGTAGGAGGCTAATCCTGTTAGTGACTAAGGTCAAGGACATGCTGCAGGGTAGCCAGCTTGATGGCAGGGCACCACATTACAGGCCAGAAGTGCACACAAGGAATAACGCAATGCGTTTCCTCCTCTAAGACACAGCACAGGAGGCGGGGGGGTTTAATGGGTGTTTTAAAAAACAGCTGAAATTGAACTGTGTAGAGAGAAGCCATGTGGAAGTGCGCAAAGCTTATTTAAACAAATACATGTCCAGTCTGACAATGTTCTGCGCTGAGGAAATACAAAAACGAGGTCAATGTTTAACAAAAAGTCTAGCTGTGAAATACCACACACAAGAAGACACTACAAAGAGAAAGTTGTTGAACCAATTTAAGTGATAACACAAAAAATTAATTAAGTTTGTTCAAATCAAGATAAAAAGTTGCAGAGACAATTGGCAACTTTTTTTAAATATGTCCAACAATATTCTTCATTCACCTTTGTAAATGAGTCCTGCTATAAGTAAAGTAACCCATCACATAGTCCAAATGTCCATGGAGTCTCCACATAGACTAAAGCAAGTCCACAAAGCGGTTGAAAGGATTGCTGCTGATATTTGACCCGGGTCTGCTAAGTCAATATAGAAATCTCACCTGCAGCTCGAGCACCTTGATGCGGTGACGGTGGTTCCTCAGCTCCTCCTGCAGCTCAGAGATGGTCTCCCTCATCGCCACGATCTGCTGCTTCCTCTCCTCGTTCTCGTGCAGCCAGTAGGAGACCTCGTCCGTGCAGCGGAACATGTCCGGGCACCTCTGCTCGTCCAGCTGAGGCAGCGTGGCCACCATCCGACACATCCCGTTCTCCATCACCTGGTAGATGAAGAAGTGTTTGTGGGCATAGAACATATTATTTGGAGTCTTATCACTACTGAGCAGTAGTGGGATTGAATGATAAGAAGAAACTGCATCCCATTAATAAAGTGAACTATCTGGCTGACAGGAAAGAACATTGTTCAATGGAAAGGGAAAGCAGGACTAGTTTTTGTCTTAATTGCCATTTACAACATAAATTCTTCTGTTTCTCTTGATTTTGATGTTTCTGTCCTACAGTGGTGGAAAGTAACATCAAGCAACATCTTTAAAAATACTGTGTTTATGTACAATTATAAAACATTTGTACTAATTTGTACTAGTTTTCTAGACACACATTACACTTCCCTGCTTTGAGATATTGGCCTGGCTCCCCTTCCCTGTTTTCAGCTCAAATAAAGTCTGTAGCTAAAATTATGCTAAATTAGTTGAATGCCAAAAAAGTTAACGTTTTACTAGATTTTATTATTCGCTCTATTCATTTCAATGGGAACAAAAATCTGACAAAATGTTAAATAAATGGTGACAGCTAGTTTAACACCATATACTGTGTTTGCATCTGTGCATTAATCCAAACAATCACCTGGTTAGAGTACTCCCCACACTGGGAGCCGCCTCCATTGCGGGAGGTGTTGTTCAGGTTGTCTGCTTTGGCATCTGGGAGCAACACGATGAGGACACAGAGAGCAGAGCACACGCTCCAGCTGGGTTGGTTGTTTGAGGACAGGAGAGACATTGTTGGCACCCGGTTAGTCTGTCCCTGCGGGGGTGACACTCCGGTGTGAATCAGGCTCCTACACAACACAGAAAACAACAGTGATATTTTGCTTCATTTTCACACCTCGTCACAAAAAGTATTTTGCTCTGTATTTGTTTGATTAACGAGACATGAGTTAAGGAAAGTGAGACTGAAGTGGGGTGATCTCTGAAGTCTATCACAATACTGCAGTTTGTCCTCAGGTAGCTCAGTAAAGACACATACACAAGATTAAACATGTCTGATGCTCATGAAGCCAAACTGAGGCCCTGAACTAAACTGAGCCAAATTTAGCTGATCTGTTTTCTAACTTTCTAAATCTTTCTCAATGAGCATGACGACAATACGACATAATGTGGAATGATTCTCTGGTGCAAATATATTTTTCTTTTTCCTGTGGAGGAACAAACACGTTTGCTGGGAGGCTTGAGTCCTCCTTCACTAGCGGCAGGTTTTGGCTCTGACTCTGCCTTTTGCTGCATGTCTTCCTCATTCTCTCCCCGGTTTCACAGTTATGCTGTTCTCTCTATCGAGGTGAAAATGCCCCAAAATAAATGCACCTGTAGTGGTGACGCTTTGACTCACCTCACTCACAGACCATCTCCAAGCCCTTTCCATTTCGGGCTGAGGAGTTCTTCCCATTTCCTTCCTCTCCTTCTCCTATATCTCCTCCTGTATCTCCTCCTGTATCTCCTATGTTTCTTACTCTGAGTGTTTCATGCTCATCTTCCGTCTCTCTCTCTCTCTCTCTCTCTCTCCCCCTCTCTCCCTCTGTCTCTCTCTGTATAGGTATCTTAGTCCCATAATCCACCTGTAAGAGGATTCACAGTGGGATGAAGAGAGGCAGATAAAGTAGGGAGCCAATTAAAAAATGCTGGTTAAAGTGAGACATGCTAGGAAATGAAATATCCACATTTCCTTTGATATAACTTTTATAAATCATTGTGCTGTTTTTGTTTCCTTTTTTCATCAAATTCAGCTGCATCTGTAAATCATGGTCATAATATGTTTAGATTGCACTGGTTATTGTGATTGTGTTGAGACAAATTATATGAAGGGGCATTTTGCTGCAGGACTGTAACAAAGATGGACCTATGGAGTCCATGCATTGCTGCAGAGCTTTAAGTGCATACATTACATGCATCAGCAAAACCCCCACATACTGTGAATAAGCATCACCTACAGGCACAATAATCCCGATCGAAGCTGGTGGTAATGAAGGCCGATCAGAGTGGGAGTACGAGGGGTGCTGATCCTATTACAGAGGCCGAGCCACTCTCTCCATCTTCACACCCTCACACTGTGGCTCGGAAACACAAACAGTTCCAATATCATGAGGAAATTAAGTTGCTAATGACGACCCTGTTACATGACTTTAGGCGCATTTCTAATGCAGCTATTATAAGATTCCTAAACCAGCTGTCTGCACTGTGACTGTGCAACATTGATCTGCTCCAGGCTTGTTTCTCCAGTACTTTCTACTTCTGGATACGTCTGAGATGCTTGCAGGGCCACATGGTGGCACCACGTAACAACTTAATTACCGGAAGGTCTTAAAGCTTCATGTGCCTGCAGAGAAACACAACAAGCAGCAAATAACTCAAATGAATTACAAGTCGAGATAGGAGTGAATTTGCTGCTGTTGTGGTGCTGCTGTGTTTTATTGATCCATTTCAACTAATTAATGATTTATTAACAATATGATAAACTCAGCTGTTTACATTCTCAAACCTTCACTGTTCTGTGAGAAAAACATCATTATTTAGAAAGTCTGAAGTGTTTGGCTCACAAACTGTGGACCCAGCTGATGATCCCTTTATGGACACAAGTGGAGAAGTGACATTTATTTATGGACTCATACTTATAATTCAGCTGAATTTATAATTTTGACCTCATTTGCAACTTCTGATACAGCCTTTAGAAATAACCTCATGTCAGTGAAGACATGAAGAAAAGCTGTTTACTATTTTTTTGCATTTAAATCGGTTTACATCGATGAATTATTCATTATATGAAAAAAGGCAGGTAAACATTTGTTATTATGCTAAGTGGCTTTTTGCCGTGTGTCGACATCAAGCTAAAAGCTGAAGCTGAGCAACTCGACAGTTTGACGTGATGGAGGACAGGTGGTAATGTTTTAAGAAAGTGAATGGAGATGGGTGGGGGTGTAAGAGTTGGGCAAACAGGACAAGAATGGGAGCAAAGACAAAGAGTTTGAGCTGATTTATCTGACTTTCTGCATCAGACTCCCACTAATTTAGTGTTAGTTGAAAGGCTAGCTGCCCGCTGTGAGTCTGCAGATCGATCATATGTGACTTAAAGGCAAACGTCCATCACACTGAGTGAAACGACTGTTACTGAGTGTGGGGGAACCAGTGTCAATTAGATTTTCATGGAAAACATGTTTGAATGAATGTATATATATATATATATGTATAGAGAGAGAGAGAGAGAGAAGGGAGAGCGATCGTACATCTCGTACGTAAATCCCAGTTCAAATCCTTTGAGCAGACACAGCTTGCTGGCTCCAGTGTCCACAGAGAGGATTGATTGGGTCTATGAAGTGTTATTTCTCAGGCGCATACAGATGACTGACCTGAATAAATGAATGCAGAGGTTTCCATATGTAAGGTCACTTAATGGTCTCATTAGTATGAAAATATGTGTGGATCCTGTGCTGTGGCCTTCACTGTCATCAGATTTGAACCTAGTTCTAGATGTGTGTGCAATTTGGTGCAGAACCTAATAAAAAAAGCATTATGTCTAATGCTTCACTTTTGTGGAATATTGTTCTCTCTGCCTCCCTCATTCACTCACTCACACCCCCAGCACAAACGATCCCCCCTAGAATCTAGTACAGTTCATGCCTCCACCCAATGGTCTCCTTCTGAAACCACATTTAAATTCACTACATGTCTTGTATCAGCATACTGATCCTGATCTGCACCAGAACTGAATGGGTTGTTCTCTGACCCATCCCTTCTCCTGACACAAGTTTCACGGTAACCTGACCAGTAGTTTTTGTGTAACTCTGCCAACAAACAAACACATTTAACAAACACATCCATACAAATATTATCCAAGTAGAATATTGTGCTAAATTTAGTCTTTGCATTCTTGGCTACGGACACCTGAGTTCTTTACAGCTGTGGCGTAAAGAGCTTCTGCCAACTAATAAATGAACAGTCACATCAGAGGAGATTACTGAAAAGCCTCTGTGTATCGACCCACACAGTTCTCCACATATGAATGAACTTTATTTCTCCTTTAGAAAGATTTAATGAATTGTGCATCCTCAGGGCAGTTTCATTCCAAAAATAAAATGCTAGCCCCCTCTGAAGTGACGAATAAATAGAGTCTGGGTTGAGAGCTGAGGGTGAGAGGCTGACAATTTACTGAGAGAAACGGCGTGAGCGGGTCCTCATTAGCAGCAGAGAGAGAAGGTGCTTCTGTCAAGTGTGATTCCAAATATAAATCGGATGGAATAGGACCGACATTTTAGCAGACAACTTGCTGTGATGAGCAGATGAATATCTACAGATGCATGAATTCATTCCACCAGCGCCGTGACCTGCACGCTTAACCTTTTGCTTTTCAATAAGCTTGTTCATCTAGCCCTAGCCACAAGTCGTGTCATCTGTCTGTGACACATAAAATGCAGCAAGAGCTCCTGAGCATCCACATCAATCAATAAATCAATGAATTAATCAATCTTAATCAGAGGGCATGATGCATCTCCAAAATCGTCTGGATGGAGTCAAAGCCAAAACACCAGGGAGTTGTTGCTATTATGCATCATGTCAACCTAATCTTATTCTTAATCTTATTCTTATCCGTCACATATACATGTTTTCTCTAAACTCTCAACACAAAAACAAAAACTCAACCCAAATACAACTTGTATTTGGATTTCAATCAATGTTAAGAAAGCACTAAGCAGTGAACTCATTGCCAGCTCTTATGTTTCTACAAAACAATGTCCTGTCAAACATCTTGTCAGGTTTTCACACAGGTAGAGCTCCTCTCCAAAATGATGAAGTGTGTGCGTGTGTGTGTGTGTGTGTG